TGACTGTTCCCTGGCTGGTCCTTTGCTGGTCCTTGGCTGGTCCCTGGCTGGTCCCTGGCTGGTCCTTGGTTGGTCCTTGGCTGGTCCCTGGCTGGTCCCTGGCTGGTCCTTGGCTGGTCCCTGGCTGGTCCTTGGCTGGCCCCTGGTTGGTCCTTGGCTGGTCCTTGGCTGGTCCCTGGCTGGTCCTTGGCTGGTCCTTAGCTGGTCCCTGGCTGGTCCCTGGCTGGTCCCTGGCTGGTCCCTGGCTGGTCCTTGGCTGGTCCCTGGCTGGTCCTTGGCTGGTCCCTGGTTGGTCCTTGGCTGGTCCTTGGCTGGTCCCTGGCTGGTCCTTGGCTGGTCCCTGGCTGGTCCCTGGCTGGTCCTTGGCTGGTCCCTGGCTGGTCCCTGGCTGGTCCTTGGCTGGTCCCTGGCTGGTCCTTGGCTGGTCCCTGGCTGGTCCTTGGCTGGTCCTTGGTTGGTCCTTGGCTGGTCCTTGGCTGGTCCCTGGCTGGTTCCTGGCTGGTCCCTGGCTGGTCCTTGGCTGGTCCTTGGCTGGTCCCTGGCTGGTCCTTGGCTGGTCCCTGGCTGGTCCTTGGTTGGTCCTTGGCTGGTCCTTGGCTGGTCCCTGGCTGGTCCTTGGCTGGTCCCTGGCCAGTCCCTGGCTGGTCCTTGACTGGTCCCTGGCTGGTCCTTGACTGGTCCCTGGCTAGTCCCTGGCTGGTCCTTGACTGGTCCCTGGCTGGTCCTTGACTGGTCCCGGGCTGGTCCTTGGCTGGTCCCTGGCCAGTCCCTGGCTGGTCCTTGACTGGTCCCTGGCTGGTCCTTGACTGGTCCCTGGCTGGTCCTTGGCTGGTCCCTGGCCAGTCCTTGGCTGGTCCTTGACTGGTCCCTGGCTGGTCCTTGACTGGTCCGTGGCTGGTCCTTGGCTGGTCCCTGGCCAGTCCCTGGCTGGTCCTTGACTGGTCCCTGGCTGGTCCTTTGCTGGTCTTTGGGTGGTCCTTGGCGGATCATTGACTGGTGCTTGGCAGGAACATGAGAGGGAGTCCGGAGCAAAATCCAGGACGTAGGGAACCAGAGGATTCGTCTTGTAACGTCAGAGCATGGGTGAGGAATCAACACGAGAGGAAGCTAAGGGAGCGGAAGTGGGAACATGGGAGACGCAGGAGGCAAAGATGAGCACGGGAAAAAGGTAAGCTGTCGTGAGAGAGTGACCACTGAGGCGTACCACAACAGTTAACACTCTGGCATCCTCCTGCTGGCCGAGGGCACTTCTTATTGACTTATGAAATACTCTTTTTTTCCACTTTTACCCGATGTATTCCAGCATCCAGCTGCCATGCACGTGGGCATTGTCAGTTTCACTATAGCTCTGGTGAATTTCAATGGTGAAGTCCTCTGGAAATCTTCAATAATTGTTGTTGATTGCAGATGTGTCTAGTAGTTCCCATTGATTTAGCTTGGAAAGCGGGGAGAATGGCGCTAGGCTTACCGCACCGTGACGTCACTGCTGGAAGATGGCAGGAGGGAGGGGCTACTAGATTTGGGGGAAAATGGCCGCTCCCAGACTCAGTGATCGCCACGAAAATGATTGTTTTTCAATCTAAAGCCAGATAACATTTCAATGTGTATTAGGAGAAGTGAGACTGCAGATCAGACTGGTTCACTTTCAACCTTCATTATGAGGCAGGCCATCATTAAATTAACCTTTTGTTATTGGTAACAATAATGAGATCACAAACATTTTGCACTGCTAACTTTTAAAAAGAAACTGAGTAATCTAATCATGGAGGAAACAGATCATTCATTAGTCTATTAGCCTGTGCTGCACAGGGCCCCCGGCCTGCCGCCTCAATGACACCGCCAAGCAAGTTTGGTTGTGGCCGGTTTGTGGGAAGCATCTTGTTAACCAGTTAGCAACTTAGTGCTAGCAGGTTCCCAATGGGAAATTCCATTGGGACCAAGTAGCACTAAATTGGTGCCTTAGAAACGACGCTGTCAAGGAACGCTATGGACAGCGGAAACATGCAAGAGGAGGAGAGTTTAGTGTCGGAGGTCGTGGATGAGTCTCCTCCGTCATCCATTTTTTATTTAGAGGAGGAAAGCGGGGACGAAGATGTTGTGGAAGAGGACGCCAGGGCGGCAGAAGCTTGGTTTGGTGTAGAAGGCTTCCAGCCGTACATGTTTGAGCCCTTGCCTCGCAACGCTGCCAGTTCTGTTAGCTCTACGCCTGCCGAAGACACAGACGTCCATCCCCGTGAACACTGGGACGCAACTCAATGGGAAAGGAAAGGATTCTGGTTTCAACCGTTGCGTATATTAGCTGCGACATATGAATCAAGATGCTATGACTGAAAACATTTGATTGACAGATGACCGTTGATATCTGATTGGCCGAATTTAGGAGTTCAGGCTGACGTAGAACTAACTGGCCTGCAGAAGATAACGGAAAAAAACACAGATTTAAGACGGGATTTTTTTTTTATAGAAATTTTCTAAATTTTGGAACAATATGGTCTGATAAAGAGAATATTTATATACATGCTTAAGCCAGAATGATTTGACATTAAATCAGGGGTCTTCAACATTTTCCAGGCCAAGGATCCCAAGCAGATGGCGAGATGGAGCGGGGACCCCTTAATTATATATATAGTATGAAATAGTGTTCTATCAAACTGGTCCTATAGTCACTCTATTACAGATGGAGTAATGTAACTAAAGTAATCCCTCCCTGGGATTATTAAAGTATTTCTGCTTCCTGGTTGATGGGACAGGTGTTGTGAATGAAACGGTGTCCAGCTTAAAGAGCTCCTGTGTGTCGCTGAATGTGAGCATTGATGATTGAAAGACATCTTCTGCCTCCATTTATCTGTTTACTGCAGTCTGTTGGATTCATGTTAATGTGGATTTAAAGACATTTCAATTAGTGGAAAAAACTGCAGGAGGGGGAAAATATAGAAAAACAAAAAATAAAATAAAAAAATCAACCAAAACTTTCATGACCCCCATGTAGTACCTCGGTGGACCCCCTAGGGGTCGCGGACCCCCTGTTAAAAACCTCCGCATTAAATTAAGGCCACCCTGAGAGAGCTATAGCCGCTGCAGATGGAGCGTCAGTGAGTTTCCAGCTGTTTCCACAGCTCAGATGCATCAGCAGTGACAGCAGATAGTGAAGGGTTGGTGGTTGAGGAGCGGTCTGTCTCTGCCAACATGCAGCAAATAAAAACAGCAGGAGAGAAAAATAAAGATGGCCCGTACGGGGATCGAACCCGCGACCTTGGCGTTATTAGCACCACGCTCTAACCAACTGAGCTAACCGGCCTGACGTCAGACCTAGCCGAATTAAATAACAAAACCCATTTTTGTCCGTCTGCCATGACAGGACGGTTGCTAGACCTCCTCACCAACAGACCTCAGTCAGAACGCCTCTGATGTCATCAGTCCAAGCACAGGCCCCCGCTGTGAAGAACTTATTTTTTATGCACAAAACTAGGACAACCCCCCCCCCCCCCCCAAACTAAATGAGGAAAATCAAGCAGCGTGATTGGCTGTATGGACAGTGGAAACACTGAGTTTACTAAAGGAAAGCTGCTGCTGAGCGGGTTAGCGCTGGGAGAATGTTACTATGGCAACAGAAACAGAGGATGAGGAAACTGTTCATGAAACAGAAACTTTCCCTGGTTTGGAAACCTTAAAGAGTTTTCTGTAAACCTGCTTCATGAAGCTCAACATGCCGAGTAACGGCAGCAGCTGGAATAAACGCTGCTGCTGCTGCATGTTCTGATTATAAACCGATGGTCATTCCTCATGCTAGCTAGCTGCATCCATCAGAACCTGTTTGAACTCACTGTTCTGCTGGAAGACCAGGTTCCCACCGGCTGAGCCTAGATCAGGCATCCCCAAACTCCGTCCTCAAGGCCCCCTGTCCTGCAGGTTTTAGAGGTTTCCCTGCTTCAGCACAGCTGATTATAATGATTGCAGTAGAGAAAAAGCCTGTTAATCAGCTTTCAATTAAAATCAGCTGTGCTGGAGCAGGAAACCTCTGAAACCTGCAGGACAGGGGGCCATGAGGACCGAGTTTGGGGATGCCTGGCCTAGAACATCCCAGGATGCTTCAAAGGTGGAGCATTTTGGCCAGTTTTTGTAAAGACCCGCCCTCTCCACTTTAAACAAATGCACATGCTCGTCCCTGTAGCCGCGGCTAACAGGGTACGCCTGTTAGATGATTGCTGTTCGCATCAATCATACAAGCTAACTTTGCAAAAGTAAGGGGGGGGGGCATTACTTTCCCTCTAACGACCCCCCCTTTCAGAGACATAGACAGGTATGGGGCATTGCAGGCTAACAAAGAAGCCAAACGACCCCCATTCCAAAGGGGGGGACCCGTTCATCCGTTTCTATTTGCATGTTTTCTAACCTAAAACCAGGCTTTATTGGGCTGCTGGATAAAACCTGGAACTAAACGCTATTTCTGACATTTTGGATTGAAAAATCTTCCTGGATGGAAGAGAAACGTCTTCAATCTTGGAAACAAAGTCCAGAGGATTGATTTTTTTTTTTTTTTTTAGCTTTTTTGGATTTATAAAAGAAGATCTGCAATTTTCCCACTAAGACTCAGCAGCTTTAAATAGCTTCATCTGGTCTGTTCCTGTTTGGCTGTGACTCCATCCTGGAGAGAAATATCAGCTGTGCTGCTGCCATCAACACCTTTGTTTCTAGATGTTGGAGCTTGGCCTGTTTTCCAGTGTAGTCCTGTTTCTCTGACTGTGACTAACTGGATGTGCTCTCTTCATCCTCTGACATGGGAGCTGGCTCGGAGCTCGTCTGTTTCCTGGACGGGGCCGTCTGTGGAGCTGGTTGCCTTTTGTATCTATGCTTCTTTTTCTATGTCTGCCTCTGTGGTCAGTAAGGAGTGACTGCAGCAGCGATCAGAGGGTTCAGTCTGTGTATTTCTAAGCTGCTGTGGGTCAGACTGAACCCAAGCATTCATTTAATCTCATGAAGAAAGAAAGAAAAACTAAAAGTCAACGATTAGAAAGAAACATTTATTCAGCAGAGAAAACCTGAACAGGAGTTCTGATGAGCGGACCGGGTTCTGTTAGCTTACAGGTCAGAACCGCGGTTCTACAGGGAGACGCTAGGAAACACAAACACTGACAGAGACCAGAGAGCGCAGAGCTTCATCAGTCCCAGATTACGGTACCATCCGGGTCAAACCAGAACGTCATGCTTCTTCATCAGGGGGACCCGGCTCCTCTTCCTCAGCAGCAGACGCGTGGCGAGCCTTCAGTTCTCCAGGAACGCCACGTAGTCGGTGAGTCGGGCCAACTGCTGCTCGTTAGGAACCAGCGACACCGGGGGAGGATCTGCGGAGAGAAAGAGTGAGGGGGGGGGACAGCCAATCAGACGGCCTCCTGTGATCAGCTGATTTACCTGCCAGAGTTCAGATCAGATCTGTTCTAATCAGCCTCTATTTGTTTCTATTTAAAGGTCAAACAGAAAGGAGTGTTTCTAGAGCAGCTTCATGGTGTGATGGTAGATTATCCTTCCTGTTCTCTAGGTGGCGCTAAAAATGCTCAAAGTAATCAGCGGTTGAAACCAGAATCCTTTCCTTTCCCATTGAGTTGCGTCCCAGTGTTCACGGGGATGGACGTCCGTGTCTTCGGCAGGCGTAGAGCTAACAGAACTGGCAGCGTTGCGAGGCAAGGGCTCAAACATGTACGGCTGGAAGCCTTCTACACCAAACCAAGCTTCTGCCGCCCTGGCGTCCTCTTCCACAACATCTTCGTCCCCGCTTTCCTCCTCTAAATAAAAAATGGATGACGGAGGAGACTCATCCACGACCTCCGACACTAAACTCTCCTCCTCTTGCATGTTTCCGCTGTCCATAGCGTTCCTTGACAGCGTCGTTTCTAAGGCACCAATTTAGTGCTAGCAGGTTCCCAATGGAATTTCCCATTGGGAACCTGCTAGCACTAAGTTGCTAACTGGTTAGCAAGATGCTTCCGAGAAACCAGCCACAATCAAACTTGCTTGCGAACCTTCCGCCACAACAATCCCGCCCCCTAGATAATCGACCAATCACATTCACTTTATTCACTGGTGTAAAGTTGGGCACCAGTGGGAGAATTCAGAAATGCGACGTTTGGAACGGCCGCTTTAATGCGACTTTAATAAAGTGCCTGATGGCCATAAAGCTGATTTAAAGCATCGGTTAATGTTTTATTAAATATTTTATTAGATAAAACTGCGAATGCTAGCTAGCTGCACAGTTTAGCATAGCCGCAGCTGCAGACAGATTTCCACATCACTATGGTCGGGGCTCCAGAACAACAAGAACCGCCATGGATAACAGTCAGTTAGCGCAGGCGGGGACCCACAGCTGGAACCCCACCGGCCCCGGAGCCGGACCAAGAAAAACCACATCTGAAGGGCAATGGTTCCCACCTGGTCCCCGGACCTGTCGCTGCGATCAGATTACCAGGGGACCGCCTTCCCCATCCAGGCTCAGCTGCGCCGCACAGCCTGCTGTCATGAACCGCCAGCTCCGCATCGCAGACCGCCAGCCAACCCAGCCACCACGTGCCAACCTGTCACCCCCTCTTTAGACTAAGGGTTAGACTCTGGTTTAAGGTCATTAAAACTCAGCAGCATCTGGAAAATGGATCTGCATGAGATCAAAGAACATTTAGCTTTAATAAAACCTAAAAAACTCTGATTGCTTCGTATTCGTCCTCAAAGGATAAAAACTCCATCATGAAGGTGAATAAATATTAACTCGCTATGTAAAGTGACTAAACTGACGTCACGGCGCCTCAGTGGGTCACATGACCGAATGAGGAATTTATCTTAGAGAATTATTTTATGCAATAAAAACTAAATGCTGGAAAGTGTTTAATTTTTTACAAACTATCAAATGAGAAAATCTAAGTTTGTTTTCTATTTGACCTTTAATGAAATATTGTTTAATTTCAGCTGAAGGAAAAAAGTTTTCACCATCTTCTAAATAACTGATGGAGTTTAACTACGGAGTCAGAAAAGGCTCAAAGTGTTTGCAAACTTAAAAATCTTAGTTTAAAGAGAAAAAAATCAAAGTCGACATTTATTATCAATTTTTTACCTTATAATGCGAGAAACTAAAAAAGCAAACATAAATAAAATAATAAGAATTTAATCTAAATTCAGTTTAGTATTTTAGGTCTACTAAAATGTTTACACTTTATCTTTTTACACTTTATCTTTTTTTTCTTTATTGCAAATTTAGAGTTTATATTTTCAGATCAAATCGAATCTTTTTTCTTTTTTAGTTTCAGGATTTTTTTTAACACCTTCAGATTTTGACGCCAATCTGACGGGAGTGGGCGGGGAAACGTGATTGACAGCTAGCAGAGGGAGGGATGTCCCGTTCCATGAAGCATTCAGGGACTGTGGGAATTCCAACAAAAGATTTTGCAGCATTTATTTGCCTTTTTGGCAAAATCCTGAGAAAAATATTACGTTAAAGACATTTCCACTGGAACTGTCACTTATCATCACGCCAGAATGCATTAATATATATATATATATAAAAATAAACAGCCATGTTATAAACCACAAAACTTTCCAACAATCCGAAATAAATTCTACATCCATTCATGGAAAGATGGCGTCTGGACTGATTGGTTCCAGCGGTTATCTTTTTTACAAACTACATTATCACAGTCCTAAATAGTGCAATTAAGATTAAAATTAAAACTTTTAAAAGATCTGGTGAACTGTGATGTGAAATGGCGCTAAAGAAATAAACTGAATAGAATGAATAATACGTCGCCAGAAGAGTAATTCTTGTTTTAACATCTTTAAAAAGTTTAAATCTTCATTGTATTATTAATGACGGTGATAATGTAGTTAAAAAGATGAAACTGGTGTGGTTAGCAGGACGCCATCTTTCCTTCAACCCATGTAGAATTTAATAAAGCGTCGTTGATTTTAACGTGAAAAAGTTTGTTTGGAAAGTTTAAAAAATATCCTGAAATTTAAAAAAGAATTTAAAACTAAAAAAAGGAGGAAAAAAAACTGAAAAAGTTTGAATCTAAAACTCTAAAACTAGAATAAAGAAAAGAAATAAAAAGAGGAAAAAGTGTAATTAAAATATTAAACTGAATTATGAGTTTGTCAAACTGAGGGGAAGAATTTAGGTTAAATTCTTATTATTTTATGTTTGCTTTTTAGTTTCTCAGATAATAACATAAAAAATGACTTTCAATATCAACTTCTATTTTTTTCCTTTTCTAACTTTTATTTTTTCAGTTTCAACTAAGCTTTATGTGTCTATAAATAATTTGAGCTTTTCTGACTCCATGTTCAGGAGCTGGAGGGATTTCAGCGCGATGCTGCCACCTACCGGGCTTTTTGGGCATTACCATCCTGGTCGCTGGGTCAGCCTGCCAGCCTTGACTCACCACACCTGGGAAACAAGGAGAAGCATCATCAGCCAGCGAGCAGCAGGCGGGTGGAGCGGCTCCATCAGCGGCGGCCTCACCTTTCACCGCCTCCTCCACGGAGTAGCCCACGAAGGCGGCGAAGTCTTCCGCTGTGAGGGAGGTGTAGGCCTGCGCCACCAGGCTGTAGGCCCTCTGTCTGGTGCCGTCTGTGGGAGAGGTTCACATGGAGGACACACGTCAGGACCACACGCAAACAGGAAGTGGGCGGGGCTTCATTATCTGAGGTCCAAATGCAGGCGATCAATCAGAAGCGAGCCCCTGGAGGCACATTAATACAGGAGGGGAACGCTCTGCCTCAAGAGCACGCAGGGTAGGGGCCCCTGTGAGGGCCTCTGTCCCGCCTGCCTGACGTCCCAGAATCTCCTAAAACGCTGAACTTTCTATAGACTTCTACTATACAGAGAGAATTCATTCCAGAACGTCTGTCCAAACGCAGACGCATCGTTTCATGGAGATGACGCATCATTAAAGCTGCTCCCTTCAGGCGCATCGCTCCATTTTAGTTTTAGCCAGATTTTCCGTACGTCAGGCTAACGCCGGTCTAAAGCGTCACGGCGTGATTAGAGCTTGAACACAGATTTGGAAAAATAAGTCATGAAATTCTGAAAAACTTCTTGAAGAAAATGTTTGAGATGCAGATTTCCTACGATTGTATTTTTTCAAACTTGAAAACAACTCAACCTGAAAATACAACAAAATAAAAGGATTTTATCGGTTAAAAAATGTAAAAAACAAGAAAAATAACTTCTTGGATAAAGACGTGTTACAAAGTTTCATTCCTGAACTGATCAAACTTCCCCATCGAGGAAAACATGGAGCTGCAATGGAGCCATAAAAACTAAGAGGGAAATGAAGTGGGCGGAGCTTAGATGTGTGTGTGTTTGGGGTGGGGAGGGGGGGTGTATTGGGGTTTGTTGGGGCTGATTGGACACATAATACTGTGCTGCTGCATTCAGGGACCGTGGGAATGTTTCTGCTTCAGCTCAGGACAATCAGCCTGTTGGAGGAATGATGACATTATTGCAGCACTGATCCACTGATTGTCTGTTGGTAGCAGGCGTTGAAGTGAAGCTACCGGCCGCCATATTGGTACTCCCTAGTTAGGCCGGTCTGAGTATAAACAATCGGTGAGCTACAGCATTTAACAACAATGATGATCTCATTTTCAGGGACTAAAGACTTAAAATAAAGATAAATTCATCATTTTGCCACAAACCGGCTGTTAGATAGCATCATAGGAACCCGGTGAATAAATAGAGATCAGTGATGTGACCTTTGACCTGCTCAGCAAAGCAGCAGAACCGGACGGGTCTAAGCTTAGATTAGAGAAGCAGGTTAGGTTTTAAAATGAAATGAGAGACATTTCTGTTTCCCACGGTTCCTGAACGCACCAGCTGGGAATATTTAGCCCAGTCATCTAAGCCCCGCCCCCTAACCCAGCCAGCAGCGGCTGGAAACTGAAAAATAAACTTCAATCTAAAATTAGTTTGAAGCGTTTCTTTGAGTTCCTGAAGTTCTGAACAGAACCGGTCCAGTTTTCTCTAGCAGGTCCTGAACGGACCGACCCGTCAGAACCGTCTGGACTCTGTGGGTTTAACACTAGAAAAATCAGTTTTCCTTAGATTTCTTTAAGTGATGAATAAAAGGATTAAACTAAATGATGATGATGATGATGATGTGGCCCCTGAACCTCCCGGTTCCATCTGTGGAGCCGAGCGGCTCAGATTCCAGCCGGGTTCTGGTTCTATTTTAGGACGGTGTTTATCACTCAGCCTTCATCCTTTCAGCGGCGGGTCGGGTCGGTGCCGCTGCATTCCTCCAGATAAGCTGACAGCTTCAGGTCGCAGCTGCTGCGTTTATCAGCGCTTGCTTGGGTTGGTCTCCTAGCAACGGCCGGCGCCGCGGGGCAACAGAAACATTTGGACGAGGGGAGGCAGCTGGTTCTGGCGGTACCAGCCCTATTTAGAACCGGGCTTTTCTTAGCTCGCCTCTCTGACACTTCACATTCAGGTCGGAGGTGCTGAGCAAGATTTCCATGAGTGGGGGGTTTCATGGAGCCTATTCCTGGACGCCATCATCTCACCCCCTAAAATAGCGACCGACCCGGTGAACCCGGCGCTGAAACGCGGCGGGCGGGAGACAGAAGAGGCAGCGAGCCCAGAGACACATCTTTATTAGAGCAAAGACAGAAGCAAACGAACAAACATCTGATCTGAACCAGAATAGAAAAGTATAAAAAAAGTTCTGCTGACGTCAGCGCGACCTTTCACCCCTGACCCCTCATTCCTCCTCCTCCGCGTCTTCAAACTCCTCGTCGTCCGCCGCTCCAAAGTCCATCTTAGACAGCACCGCCTCCACGTGTTCCGTGGACAGAGCGAAGTGGTCCATCTTCTCGAAGCCCGGCTCGGGCCGCTCTTCGCCCAGCGAGGCCTTGGCGGCGTCCTTCGTCTGGGTGATGAGGCCCTTGGAGGCCAGCAGGAACTCGGCGGCGCCGCTCTGCTCCAGCGCCCTCACGGCCGTGTCCGTCAGCTCGGAGCTGGACTGCAGCCGCTCGCCGTAGCGCTGGGCCAGCGCCCGCAGCGCCGCCACCTTCTCGTCCTGCTCCTTCCCGACCTGCTCCAGCAGAACGGCCTTGCGCTCCTCCAGGACGGCGTACAGCAGGTCGAAGCGCTCGGCCAGGCCCTGCTTGGCCCGCTGGGCGTTCTCCTGCACGGCGCGGCGGGCGTCCTCCATCTGGTGCAGCAGCGCCTGCAGCCGCCCGTTGCTGGACACCAGCGCGTCGATGGCGTTGCTCAGCTCGCCCTTCTGGGCGTCGTAGATGGCGGCGAGCGGCGCCACGTCGCAGTCCTTGTGCTGGCCGAACACCTTGCACATGGAGCAGGTGGGCAGCTGGCAGCTCAGGCAGTAGATGTTGATGCGCTCGTCTTCGTGCTCCTGGCACATGGGCTCCTTGGACTCCTTGGGCTTCAGGCCGTCCGTGCTCTCGCCCTTCCCCTCCTGCTGCTGCTTGTAGATGTCGATGATGTTCTCCACCAGCAGGTTGCGCTGCAGGCCGTGCACGCCGTGCCGGTCCAGCACCACCTCGAAGCGGCAGGTGGGGCAGCGGAAGACGCCGCCGGAGAAGCGGTAGGGGTTGCGGGAGTCGTAGAGGTCGCTGGCGCAGCTGCGGCACAGGTTGTGCTGGCAGGGCAGGATGACCACAGGCTTGGTGAACATGTCCAGGCAGATGGGGCAGCTGAGCTGCTTCTCCAGGCTGTCCATGGGGCTGGGGGGCCGCAGCACCGAGCTCGTCCGCTGTAGGTCCATGATGTCTGTGGCTGTGATGAGAGCCGTCCTCTGCGTTCTATTCTGGGCCCGGCCCGGTCCGCCCGCTCCTTTATAGACGCCTCTCAGCTGGTGACACCCGATCCGCCTGCAGGACCTTTCCACAGAAAGCCCCCACTCCCACTGCGTCACATGTCCCCGTGGGCCGGGACAAACAGGCCGCATGTGACCGACCTGTAAACACGCTCCGGTCAACAGGATGTTTGTCCCAGACGTCTGTTCCAGCAGGTTCTGTTCTCTGCTTTACGCAAGACGGGTCGACCTCCAGAACCTTTTCTAAAACACAAACCCAGGAGTTTGGACCCGGTTCTAACCGTCCAGAATCGGCAGCATCATTAAACCCAGACACACTGCCGAGGGAACCACCAGGAGGTCCGAACCTCGGTACCAGCAGAACCGGCTGGTCGGGGTCAGAGGAACACGCTCTGAACTCTGACTGGACCTAAGCCCCAGCAGAACTCCTCTGGTTCTGGTTCCGTCTCATTTTCAACTCCATTTTTAATCAACCCAAAATGATCTGCAACAGAACCAACTCAGTTCTGTTATGGTGGCCCAGTCCAGCCCGCCAAGGACGCCATGAGGAACCGGCTGAAC